GCAACAACATGGATAGAATTAGAGAACATTGTGTTGTGAAATAATTCAGACACAGAAAGAGCAATACTACATGTTCTGCAGTTCATGTGGAAGCTAAAAAGTTGATCTCATAGAAATTGTGAGAATAGTGATTACCAAAGTCTGGGAAAGTGTAGGAGAGGGGAAAGAGGGACATTGGTTAAGAAGTACAGGTGTGCAGTTGAACAGGAGAAATCCCTTTTAATATGCTACAGCACAGTATGAGAAATAGGATTGATAACAAGTAATCATATATTTCAAAAAAGCTGGTAAAGACAATTTGGAATATTCCCAACACTAAAAAATGATAAATGTCCAAGGTGATAGATACAACCATCTGATCATTTATACAATGTATGCATATATCAAATTACCAAACTATCCCACATAAAAATGTCCAACTACCATGTATCAAATGGAAATAAATGGCAGTTTTTAAAAATTAAAATAAATTACAAAAAAATAATATCAGAAAGAACAGAGAGCAGATTTTGTTGTTGCTGTTGGTGCTGCTGATGCTGCTGAGGTTGGAACCCAGAGCTGAGTCAAAGGCACACTCCTGGCCCAAGAATTCTTAAATTGCCCCTATTAATTAAGAAACATGGGTTGGGGATTTAGCTCAGTGGTTGCCTAGCAAGCGCAAGGCCCTGGGTTTGGTCTTCAGCTCTGAAAAAAAAAAAATCTGGCTGGGCGGTGGTGGTGCTCAACTTTAATTCCAGGACTTGGGAGGTAGAGGCAGGCAGATCTCTGTGAATTCAAAGCCAGCCAGGTCGACAGAGCTAGTTCCAGGGCAGCCAGGGCTGTTACACAGCGAAACTCTGTCTCAAAAAACAACAACAACAGCAAAAAACATTTATTTTCTTTATTTTTAAGATTTTAAATTTATTTTTATGTGTATGGGTGCTGTGCCTGCATGAAGGTCTATGCTTATGCCTCACATGAGTGTGTGATGCCCCTAGAGGCCAGAAGAGGGAGTCAGATGCCCTGAAGCTGGAGTTATAGACAATTGGAAACCACCATGTGGTTGCTGAGAATCAAACCTGGGGTCTCTGTAAAAAGTAGCCTGTGCTCATAATGGCTGAGCCATCTCTCCAGCCCCAGGAAACATTTATTTTCTAGGATGAACAATATATTCCCAAAGTTGGTATCTCTGATTTCTCTATCCCTATAGACACTCAGTGTTTCTCACAATCCCTGACATCTGTCTCTTCCATTAACACTTCAAAATCCCAGTTCAGACCTCAACAATAGCCTTAACTGGCTCTACTCATGGTCACTCTTTCCTTTCCTAAAATTTCTCTGGCCCAAAGGCCCTAGATTGACTTTCTTAAAACACTACCGTGATCACATTTGCTCAAAACTTGTGAGAACTTTCCATTACCTTTTTCATTAGTCCCAAATCCCAGGCTCAGCAGTGCCTGTCCAGCCCTAGCTACCTCTCACTTTTCTCTCTCACTGTCCAAATAAACCCTCACAGTGACCTACTTAAACTTTTCACTTAATGCCTTGTACTTTTCTGACTTTCAGTGTTAGAGCACACAGCTTTTCTCCACCTAGGATACCTTGCTCTTATCCCCAATCCTAGCCTATAGAAATTCAAATTATATTTCAAAAGCTGCTTTGAGAGACACCAGCTGTGATATACTTCTTCATTGCCATCACTTCAACATTACCTTCAAAGGTAAGCACAGCCGGATTTGAATTACAACTCCAGTCACTGGCCTAGTGATACAGGACACAATCCTTAAATATCCCTTGCCTCAGTTTCTTCATCTATAGCAGGGATAAAAGCAACTTCCCTTTGACACACTGTAAGGAATAAATGAATTAACTCTTGTATGTAAAGTATTTAGCATGATGAGAACTCAAGAGAAATTGTTGGTTTTCTAATTACTACTTGCTACTAGTGAACTTACATCAGTCTGAACTCAGACAATACCATTGCAAGCTGGTTCATGAATATACAGTATTATTGCCCTCACTATCTCTATTCTCCCACTCCCTATTTGTCTTCTACTAGCCCATTACCCAAATTATATCATCTGATAGACAGGTGAATGTCTTCTATGACTTACTATCTATAATAATCACTCATACATATAGAAGTGATTCTATTAGGTTGCTTTTCTTGCTTCTGTGACCAAACACCTAAAAAGAAGAAACTTAAGGAAGAAGCATTTATTTTGGGTCACAGTTTAAAAGTACAGTCCATGGTAGAGAATGGAAGGCATGGTAGCAGGAATTTGCTAACATGCTGGCAGAGGAGAAAACAGAGAAAGGGGAATGCTAGAGCTCTGCTGAACTTCTTATTCAGTCCAGTATCAACCCCATAGGATGGTGCCGCTCACATTTAGGATGGGTCTTCCGCCCTCTGTAAACCTCTCTAAACCTCTCTGGACACACTTTCACAATAAAGTTAAAGACTAATAACTCTAGTGATCAAGTTTGTTTTATGCTTAATGAAAAAAAAATACTGAAGATCTGACAGTATTAAAATGTCCAACATACACAGTGAAAGGTATTACAGAATGCTTTAAAGTAATTAAAAGATTAAACCTCTAGTCTCACAAAATGAAATCCTTTTTTATTTATAGTTCTAACTTCCTTTTGCAGTCTTCCTTACTTTTAAAGCCAGCCAACCTACCAACCAACCAACCAACCAACCAACCAACCAACCAACCCATTCATTCAGCAAGAGAAAACAGCAAAATATATGCAGGTCAGACAGCAGCCAAGTACTGGAATACAAGGACCACAAGACAACTGAGCTGAGCACAGCTTTGGGTGAAGTCAAATAGGAAGACAATTTAAAGGGAAAGATAACTGGCTTGTCAGTCAAGCTAACAATGCTGATTGTTACTCACACACAGGGCCAAGTATAAACAACTGAAATCACCAGACCAGAGGATACAGAAATATCTGTTCATTTAGCTTAACTACTGAGTTTACCACTCAGTATTTACTACAATAAATACTACAGTATTTACATGACCAATTTTAATTGCCTATGCCAAAAATTACTATTAACATTCTTCAAGATTCTAAAGTATCCCAAGTTTTGACCAATGAAGCCATGTCAAATAGATATGGCTTTAATGTATATCAATCGTTTACTTCAAGACAATTATTATGACAATGGCTTAATAAATGTTATAACATAAAATTTTTTCAACAATGCCCAGGGAAAATAATATTACAATACTGGGTTCTACTTCATATGTCTGTATCTACTTACATGACTTAATATCTATAACAATCACTCTTGATTGCTTCCATAGCCAAAACTAGGCCTGGTAACCACGAAAATCAGAGGAGTTACTAGTGGTGTGAATTAAGATGATCTAAAGATATGTTATGAATTTTGAAATATCTACCATAAAGCAAAAAAAATCTACTCATGAAAATATTACATTTCTACACCTCTGATATTTGTCTCTAGCAGATCCTAAAATGTTCTATCAGCTCTGAAGTACAATCACAGAATCGTAAAGCTTTGGAAACTCTTTCTCATCCTTTACTGAAGGAATTCCTTATATCAGCTGTTTGACAAAAGTACTCCCCAACCCAGCTTCTGCCTGATACGTCTAGCAATGTGTGCTAACTGTTTTGCAGAACAGTGTACTTTATTTCTACAAACTTCCTCCCTAAACCAATGAAAATTTGCCTCTCTAAACTTCTATCCAAAGATCTCAGTTTTGTATCCTGGAACAACACAAGGTAAATTAACCTCTGAAGTAGACTAATTTCTTGAAGTAGGTAAAGTTATCAATTTAGTCACACCAAAATACACAATACTCACAAAGGAAGAAACCACCACTATATGCAAGAAAAATTTGAAATTCAGGAAACCATACTGAAATCACAAGGCAACATGCTTTCAAGATACCAAACCTCACACCTCAGTTAACAAATACTAACCGCCCAACTTTCTTTTATACAGTGGAAGGCCATAGCGTTCATTGAATACCTCTTTGCACCTTGACACTACTAAATCCAATGTTAAAAATTACAACTCTATAAGAAACAGCTTCTCCAATTGTTCATATTTTCATCTAGGCGTCTGTTTGTTTTTTTTTTTTAAAGACCCTTTTTACCACGCTGGTGCAATACACATGTTAGCAGGTACTCTCAAAAATGAATCCTAAGGATAGGACTGTAAAGGAGTTGGGGTGGGGATGGAGGCAAAGAGAAGCCCGGCAGGAAAAAAAAAAAAAAAGCTGGTTGCCGGGCATTTTTCTTCTGGAAACAGCCTTTAGTGACACAAGCATTTGAAGTAATGAACCATCCAAGCACAACCCAAGAGCAAGAACCATCATGAGCAATGAGCGTAAGGCATTAAGTGTCTGTAAGATGGAAATGAATTGGCACTGGTCATCGAGCAGCACCGGATGCTTTGGGACCTGACTGAAAAAGGTAAAAGTCCAAGAAGCAGAGTAGACCACTGCCATCTTTAGAGTAGACCACTGCCATCTTTTAAGGGAGGGAAGAAACCAGGGAGTGACTACCATTGAGCAGCCCAATGAAGCCTGAACTGTACGGAGCACGAGAGAGGAGAGAGAGAGACGCCAGAGCCTGGTGGAAGGCACACACACGGTGAGACGGAAGAAGGATGCGCAGTGCACTGACCTGGTCCCTAAATGGTGCGACATGGGTGTGGGTCGGGGGTAGTGTGGGAGCCCACCGTTCCCCTCCCTGCAACCGAGCAACAGAGGGTAAAAGAAGGGGGAGGGTGAAAAGCAAGAATGACTCATAGCCGAAAGGAAGTGCTCAAGCCATGGGAAGCATGCTACGGGAGATTTCCGAGCCAGCGCCGTCAGGGGCTGGGCGCCCCGGGTGATGGGGACCCCCAGCCCAACATCTGGCCGTCGCTGCCGCTCGCCGGCGGGATGAGGGTGTGTGTTGGGGAGGGGGGGGGGGTTCGCGGCAGCCGGAGTGCCAAGGCCTGGGAAGAGGCGCGGCGCGTGCGCAGTGGCGTTCGGCGGGACCCGCTGAGGCAAAGCGGAGCCGCAGTGACAGAAGCGAGGAGCTGCCGCCCGGAGGGACTCACCGAGGCGCAGGGGCTGGAGGTGGTGCTGGGGGTAGGCGACCGCTGGACCGTGACCAAAGCCATCTAGGCGCTGCTAGGTTGTTCCGGGCAGGGCATTCTCGTCCTGAGTGTAGGGGGCGGGAGGGTGACGGAGCCGGGATGGGGGGCAGAAAGGGTGAGGGGTAGGGGACGAGGGGGGGACGGGGAGGAAGATGAAGCCGCCGCGGGAACGGGCTCGGGCTCCGCACCCACCACCGGACTCTCGCCGCCGACTGACGCGCCGAACGGGCGGCGGGCGGGCGGGCGGGCGGGCGGTTCGGCACCCGGGGCCGTTGTGTAACCGGTCTGCTCCAGTTCTCTGTGAAGCCCCCGAGCATTCGGAGTGCGGGCGGTTACGGTGCGGTAAGATCCCGAAGC